ACCCCGCACAACATGATCTACTCGACCACCATTATGGTTACTGCCAAAAAAAAAAACGGAGGTAAAAATAAAAAAGATAACCTGGTTGCCGAGTCCACGAAGTGAATTGGCTTGTTTTACAACGTCTTTGCCAAGCGACGAAACCCAATCCCGATGGCAAACACCGGGGTGGGGGGGAAGGGAAAATCACTTATTTTCTTGTTTGCCTCGTTGGCCCGTTTCGTGTCGGAGCGACGCCCGTTCTCACTCCCAGGAGTCGCATCCAAGGGCGCTCTTGATGTTTCTATCCTCTTCCTCTCTAGCAAAGTTGTATTTTTAATCTCTTCCTTTCTTGCTCATGGCCATTATCCCGAGACAAGCGACCATGTTGCCGCTCCTGCGTAACGAATGGATGCGACGTGCAGGGGTCTCCATCATCTGGGTGACCAACAACAGCAGCAGTACTTGAAAATCTTAAAACGCTCGCGCGTGTTTGTCCAACGTTACCCGCAGGTGACGTGCTCGCGAGGGGTGAAGATCAAAGCGGATTGCAAGATCGCCGAGTGCGAGGCTCGCGACTGGGACGCCGTCGTGTGCCCGGGAGGCATGCCTGGCGCCGTGAGCCTCAAGGAGAACGAGACCCTTGAGGCCATCCTCAGGAAACAGGTTCGGCACGTGTTGAGAGCAGTTATACCCTCTCTCTTGCAACGGGCATCCACGCGCCGACCTGCGCACTGCGCACTGCAACAGGGTGGCATGGCTTACATTAGTACCCCCCGTGGCAGCCACTCGTGAGGTGCCACAACGATAGAACCACGCTGCTGCTGCTGCAGGGACGACAAACGGAGTTGTGTTTTTTTTTCATACGCTGGTATTTCTGTGCGCATGTCAACAAGAAGAGCGGCAGATCTGACACACGTGAACAATCTTCGTAGGCGTGCGGCAAGCAAGAAGGCGTTTCGCGCCGTGTGAGAACGAGACGTGTTGCCCGGAAATGAGCCTCCTTCTTGATGTTTGCTGGATGCCAGCCACCCCTCTGCTTGTCCTTTCGCCCCTAACATTCCCTTTGCCGGCGTCGCGTTGACGTTGACAAAAAACAAAAAACAGAACTCGGAGGGGAGGATCGTTGGCGCTATTTGCGCCGCTCCCGCCGTGGTTCTCGCCTCGCACGGACTGCTGGAAGGCAAACAGGCAACGTGCTATCCCGCGAGCGTCTTCCAATGTAGGTGTTTTATCTGGTTTTCCTAGTGGGTTACGACTGTTTTTTTTCTACCGCTGGTTTTTGCTTGCTGTCGTCGTTCTGGCACGAGTAGCTGCTGCTGTGTGAGTCTGCCTAGTGTAGCTAATTTCGAGGTGACGGTGACGCCAGAACCGCTGTGCACGTCGTTCGTTGCGGATTCTGGAGTGTGGTCTGACAGTGCTTGTTCGTTTGTTGTTGCGCTCTATCACTCCTCCCGGAGTTATCCTCTCGCTTTGCCCCCCACACCAGTGGCTATTCGGGTAAACGTGGTCGTGTTTGATGCACCCCAAACACCTGGTGGCGGCACGACCGATGTCGCTTGAATACGTAGCAGGCAACACCTGCGGGAGCAGCATGTCCCAACCTATGACAATCATCTAACACATGACCCGAATCAGCACAGTTTCAGACACCGTGGACAGAAGATTTGTGCAAGGGGGGGGGTGCACTCATAGTCGTGCATGCCGTAGTCGTTAGACCATTGACCTCGCATCCCTACAAAGCCGGGACGGAGCACGCCGGGTTCTCACCGGACCAGGCTCTCACATCACCAAGCGCGAAGCGCCGTGAGATATTCGGCGAGTCGCATGAAGGGTGCGCTGCATCCTGCTAAGGGTGTTCGGCATCTTGTGCTTACTTCCTTGCGTACGGATGACAGCTGCGTATGACCTAATTTATTTTTTGGTGCTTCACTTCCAGAGACAGTTGTAAGCACTGTATGTAACTGCCTCGAGGATGCTTGACCATTTTAACACAACGTGGTGCGATCATCCCCCTTGCGCGGAGTGAGGGTTGTCGACCCCGCACAACATGATCTACCCTACCACCATTATGGTTACCGCCAAAAAAAAACAGAGGTGAAAAAAAACGATATCCTGGTTGCCGAGTCCACGAAGTGAATTGGCTTGTTTTACAACGTTGCCAAGCGACGAAAACCCAATCCCGATGGCAAACACCGAGGGGGGGGAAGATTTGTGCAAGGGAAGGAACAAAATGAGAATTCCCGCAACCCAGAATCTCGTTTTACTTGATCAGCCAAGTAGACAGGTCTTCCTATTTCCGTATTCCGTCGTTATTTTTTTTTCCAGGCGGTTTGTCCTCACCTCAAGATTGTAGCCACCCCAGAACTAAGTCGCTGCGCGTATCTTGTACACGGGCAACCACGTAAGCATACCCATCTTGAACGGAGCCGGGGTTATCCGAGTTGACGCGCATCGCTATTTTCTTCATTTCAACCTCCGTGCTCTTCGTACCTTGTTCACGTCAGGATATATTCGCCACGGATGTACCCACAGTACGACCACTGTTTTTCTTTGACTCAATTACGAATATTTAGTCAAGTTTATCCCTCTGGAGCGTGCTCATGAGAGCACAGCAGTGTGTCATGAAGGAGTGACACAATAAATATGAGGCAACAGGAAAACCAGTCCACAGCTGGCGGCCAGCTGCCAGTTGGTGTTGAAGTTCCCCAAGCTCAACAGCTCCGACAGCTGTTGACGTATTTTGACTCGACAAGAGCCAAGCGCACCTCAACGAACCAAGAACGATTAATTGACAAATCTGGCGCTATGGATTGCTAATCCATCCCAGTATGGATCCATTGCTAGTCTATCCCAGAATCTTCTCCGTGGAGGGGATGGATTTGTTGTGTCATATGTAAGAAAAAAAGGAAGAAACACTGTATGCTGTCTTACGTACTTCATTTCGATGGCCGCCGCCGTGACCAAGCGTAACCACGGCCTGCTGCCGCTTCCCTCTCCTCTGGCGGACCCGCGCGCTTGAATCCCCGCGCAGCCAAAATCCCGCAACTTGTCTCCGAGAAGGTCGTGGTCGACCAGAACTTGATCACCAGCCAGGGCCCCGCGACTTCCATGGCTTTCGCTCTGCAGGTAGGACTATTTTGGCGGTTGGCATACCACGGCGGTCTAGCCGCAGTTTTGACTACGAGACTGGGCCGGGTTGTAGCTGTGCCGCATGGATGCCTCTCAGGCGGGCTATTTTATGTAGTTGTGAAGGATCCGATTAGCGGTAGCGCGTTTGGTTCTCGCCAAAGTTTCGGCGGAACGACGCACGCGGAACCAACTCAAGCGACATGTGGATTTCTATTAACTGTACATAGGCATCAGCTCTGCCTGCGCTAGGGGCCGCGGGTAAAGTTGTTTGGTACGACACAACCGCAGGAGGGTGGGCCGGTTGAATGTTGTTGAGATATGCGTTAATCGAAAACTAGAGCCCCAGATGAACGGGCGGATTTCGATCCCGGTCCTTGGTGGCGGCAACGATCCGGAAGTGGCCCTGAAGCTCGGTTTTGGTTTGGCTGTTCTGGGCGAGAGAAAACATTGCTCGAAGGAGCTCGACCAGCTGGTGCAGCTGCCGGCTTTGGCGTGGCAAAAACAAGCCAGGCTGTTCGTGTGAACATGCCGTTCATTGATGTGTCAACCGGTATGGCCACTCCGTTCATTTGTGTGTCAACCCGCGTATGTATGGTCGTTCCGATCATTTGTATTTGAAACCGTGTGCATACCCGGAATATGAATATCCCTCACTCTGCTCCCCCCCCCCCCCCCC